CCCTGCTTTTAGCCCTCACATAACAGAAAGATCCTTAAAACAGAGTAAATAGCTCAAGATGAAATTGTGAAAAGAAATAATACATTTATTACATTTATCAACTGATTATTTGACCTATTTCAGAACTTTAATATAGGTTTATACTTGAATTTGAGGAGCCTTAGAGAACAATTACAACATTTTTATTTCTTATCAAGGATAAATAGAATAAGGCATGGCTCTGAAGTGATTATAGTAAATAGGATTCAATGATATGCCTTCAAGTGGTGCTGATATTGGAATTGGAGGTCACACATTCACTTAAATTATCATAATCTGAATGGTCACCTAACCCAGGGCTCCTAAAATAACGAAGCTCACAAAGTAGTCCTTTACTTAAAAGAAGAAATCAGGGTTGGGGATGTGGCTCAAGTGGTAGCGTGCTCGCCTAGCATGCGTGAGGCACTGGGTTCGATTCTCAGCACCACATACAAATAAAATAAAGATATTGTGTCCATCTAAAATAAAAAATAAATATTTTTAAAAAGGAAGAAATCAGAACTATACCAATAGATGGGCAGACATACAAATATGAAAAAACAAAGGAACACACCATCCCAAACAGCCCATAATGTTTTAACAATAGACTTCATTGATACCACAGTGGAGGAAATATCTTCTTTAGATAAAGTTCACAGTTAAACTGTTCCATGAGGGCTGCAATTGTAGCTCAGTGGCAGAGCGCTTGCCTAGCATGTATGAGGCACTGTGTTCTATCCTCAGCACCACATAAAAATAAATGAAATAAATGTATAAAAACCATAATAATATTATCTTTAAAAAACTGTTCTATGAGCTAAAAGAATATGTAAAGAATAAAATTAGAGAGAAAATACAGGAAACAAAAGATCAGTTCAATAGAGAGATGGAGATTCTGAAAAAGAATAAAAAAAAATTCTTGAAATCAAAGAAGCAATAAACCAAATTAAAAATTCAATGGAAAGTATCACCAATTGATCAGGCCACTTTGAAGATAGATTTTCAGACTCTGAAGACAAAAACTATATAATTTTGAAAATAAAGTTGATCAAAAAAGATATTAAAAGACCATGAACTGAGAAGTCAAGATATCTGAGATAACATCAAAAGGCCAAGTTTAAGATTCATTGTGAAACATGAAGGCTCTGAAATACAAACTAAAGAAATTCACAATCTTTTCAATAAAATAATATTGGAAAATTTCCAAACCTTTAGAAAGAGATGGAAATTCAAATACAAAAGGTATACAGGACTCCAAATATACAAAATCATAATAGATCCACTCCAAGACATATTATTATGAAAATGCCTACCATGCAGAATAAGGATAGAATTTTAAAAGCTGCAAGAAAAAAAAAAGTGTCACATTTAGAGGTAAACCAATCTTCATTTTAAGTGATTACTCAACACAGACATTAAAAGCCAGGAGGTCTTGGAAAAATATATACCAATCTCTGAAAGAAAATGGATACCAACCAAGAAAAATTAAGTTTCAGAACTGAAGAAGAGATAAAAATTTTCTATGATAAACAAAAGCTAAAAGAATTCAGCCTGTAGTACAAAACATACTTAATAAAATGTTTCATGAAAAATAAAAATGAAAAACAACATAGGGAGAAATTATATTAGAAGAATAGTCAATTAAAGGAGAATGAAGTCCAATTTAAATATAAGAAATAAACCAAAATGACAGGAAATAAAAACCATTTCTCAAAAATAACTGAATATAAATGATATAAACTTTTCAAACAAACAAAAGACAGAGGTTAGCAGACCAGATAAAAAAACAAGAACCAACAATATGCTGTCTGTAAGAGACTTACCTTACAAGTAAAGACATTCACAGACTGAAGATGAAAGGATAGGAAAAGACATACCATTCAAACAGTACTGGTAAACAAACAGGGGTAGATATTCTTATATCAGATAAAGTGAACTTCAAGCCAAGATTAATCACAAGAGACAAGTTACCTCATACTGTTTAAGGTAATCATAAATCAACAAGATATCATGATCATAAATATTTATGCTAAACAACAGAGCATCTATGTATGTCAACAAACCCTTCTCATCATTAAGAATCAGATCACAAAACAATAATACTGGGTGACATTAACATGCTTCTCTCACCACTGAATAGATCATCCAAACAAAAACTAAGCAAAAATGCTACAAAACTAAAAATTACAATTAATAATATGAAACTAATAGATATTTGCATAATATTTCATTCATCAACAACTGAACTCACTTTCTTCTTAGCAGCACTTGAAACATTTTCTAAAATAGACCATATTTAGGTCACAAAAAAATCTTAGCAAATACAAAAAAATAAGAGATAATACCTTACATTCTATTAGATCATAATAAAATTATAAATCAATGATAAGATCAAAAACAGAAACCATGCTAACACCTGGAGATTAAATAATACACTTGTAAATGATGAATGGACAGCAGAAGAAATCAGGGGAGAAATTAAAAAAATCTTAGAAGTAAATAAAAATAGTAATACACCATATCAAAATCTCTTGAAGACTACTAAGACAGTACTAACAGGAAAGTTCATAGCAGTGAGCTCAGACACCAAAAGAACAGAAAGATACCAAATAAATAATCTAACATTACACCTCAAAGTCCCAGAAAAAGAACAAGAAACAGTAAAGTCAGATGAAGACAGGAAATAATTAAAATCAGAGCCAAAATTAATAAAATTGAGATTAAAAAACAATAAAAAGATCACCACAACAAAAGGTGGTTTTTAAAAAGTAAAATTGATAAACCCTTAGCCAATCTAACCAAAAGGAAAAACCTCAAATTAACAAAATCCAGGATGCAAAAGGCAATATCACCACAGATGCTACTGAAATCCAGAGAATAATCAGAAACTATTTTGAAGATTTATATTTTAATAAGCTAGAAAATCTTGAAGATATTGACAATTCCCAGAGACATATGACCAACCCGAACTGAACCAGGAAGATACAGAAAACTTAAACAGATCAATATCAAGTAATGGAATTGAAGCAGCAATCAAAAACCTTCTAACAAAGAAAAGCCCAGGACCAGACTGATTCTCAGTGCAGTTTTATCAGACCTTTAAAGAACTAATACCAATCCTCCTCAAATTATTTCATGAAATAGAAAAGGAGGGAACTCTGCCAATTTCATTGTATGAAGTCAGTATCACCTTGATACCGAAACCAGACAAAGACATATCAAGGAAAGAAAACTTCAGCCCAATATCCTTGATGAACAATGATTCAAAAAATTCTTTTTTTCGGGGAGGGGGGGGTTATAGATGGACACAATATCTTTCTTTTTTAAATAATTTTTAACAGATATTTTACTTTTCCTTTTTTTAATAGCTTTATTTTATCTATGTATTCATTTTTGTGTGGTGCTGAGGATCGAATCCAGTGCCTCAGCAAAAGCGAGGGGCTAAGAAATTCAGTGAGACTCTGCCCCTAAGTAAAATACAAAATAGGGCTGGGGATGTGGCTCAGTGGCTGAGTGTCCCTGAGTTCAATCCCTGATACCCGATTCCCCAGGCCAAAAAATAAAAAAACTGTAAGTAGATAGAAAGATCAGTAGAGTAAGGTAGGGAACAGGAGAAGGGAGGAGGAGAAGGAAGTAGAAACACTGGGTACTGAATTAGAGCAAATTATACTCCATGTTTTTATAATTATGTCAAAACGAATCCTATTGTCATGTATAACTAAAAAGAACCAATAAAAAATTCAAACTTTAAAAAACACAAATAAAAAATTTTCAAAAAGGGATGGGGATATAGATCAGTGGTAGAGCACCATGGCTTCAATCCCCAGTATCATAAATTTAATAAATAAGCAAATAAATGAAAGAAAATGTAGTCATACAAAGAAAATGAGCTATTAAGAGATGACCTGGTTTAGATGAAGTTCTTATTCTAATTCTATTTTGTTTGATCCTATCATCTTCCTGTGTTCAGTGTTATAAATACAAGTAATATCCCTAGAGGGTACCTTTAAAATAGAGGAGGCTGTCCACCTCCTGGGGATAGTTTGAGAATGTGTATATGTGTGTGTGTGTGTGTGTGTGTGTGTGTGTGTGTGTGAGAGAGAGAGAGAGAGAGAGAGAGAGAGAGGGAAAGAGAGAGAGAGAGAGACGTGTACACACAGTTGGTAGGCTAGATCAACCATAGACAGTCTTCCACTATGTGTTCCCAGAACGTTATGGCTTTCAGTTTCAATAACAATGATGATTATTATAAATATGAGAATCATAAACCAAAGTATATAGTTAAATTTAATGTTTTTTAAAGATCAAATAGAAGTCTCTGAACAGCTATTTAAAAGATTTTATATTTCTCGTTTTCTTCAGGCTCCTCTTTATCACCATCAACCATTTTGTCATTTAAACACACTTGACCTCATTTTAAGCTCCATTATCTCTATTACTGAGATAATTTCATTATTTAAAGTGCAGTACCTTTTTAGATGTTTTGGTATGTCAACCCTTGAAATCATGCAAATAAATAGTGCCATAATTTAAAGGTATATACTTAGCGTTGAAAAACTAAAAACTTTGTATCAGAATATTCTTTTCTTTAAAAAATAAATATTGGACTTAAGGACAATATAAATCACTATATACTGTATTATGTAACTAACATTTAGCCTTGATATTGGATATCTTTTTGTCCCCTTTAACTTGAATTAACAAATTCAATTTGAAGTGTTAGGAATTAAAAACAAGCATGGTTAAATATTAGGAAGTGAGTCCAAACCACAGAAACTGTAACTAAATTATATGCCATTTCAGAATTAAATATTTTTTCAAATCATTATTTTCAAATTATTATTCAACACACAAAAAAACATAGCTCTAGAGAAGTTCTTCAGAGCATAGTTAATAAGAAACAGAATATTTAATTCCACACATGAAGCAGGAAGGTTAAAAAAAAAAGCATTATTTACTATCAAAAAAAAAATAAAACAAACCTTAAGGACACAGTTGTTATTGTTATTGCAGTTGGCAGATACTCCTTGAAATTCAGCCACAGTGTTCTAAAATGGTTGACAAAAACAATTAAAGAAGGCTTCCCCAGCCCCTCAATAGAGAGAAAAAGGACCGAAAAACACTGAAGTTCAGGTGCTTGCTGTAACACACTGTCAAATATGAAGAGGATGCCATTGGACCTTGGTAAGATACTCCCACTCTGTTTCAGATATCATGGACACAGAATATGGTCCATTCACATTATTAAATTCCCATCCATAAATAAACACAATCTTGCGCACACAGCACAAGCTGTTTTCAACCAGGAGCAGCAAACAGCATGAGTTAAATTTAATGTAGTACCATGAATGCTTTTCACATAAAAATTACAATCTTGTGAACCTTTTAATACTTACACAAATCACAGCATCTATTATAATTTTGCCTCGATTGTTACATGTGAACACAAGCAATTAAAAGACATATCTGTGGAGGTAGCTGCTTTAAACTGTATCAAATACTTCAAAAGATTCTAAAAATAACACTATTGTGATATTGGTATAATGATACTAATTTTCAGTATTGAAAACAAATTATAAAAAAAAAAAAAAACAAGCTGTATTTTAAGAGAAGGGGCTTCAGACTCCACAGTGTTGATTAAGCTTGCTATGAACTAGACTAAAGAGATTTTTTAAATGTGACTTATAACCACTAACTTTACAATATAATAAATATCATGTTTTAAAAGAATATTTTAAAAAGCCAAATAATCACATAATTTTAAAAAAGGTATAAAATTATTCATTGTAATTTCATGACCATATTCATTTTCTAATTCAAAAAAGAGGTATAGCACCATTTGATACTATATTCCAATCTGAGCCCACAGCAGTTAAAATTATATGCTTTTTAACAGAAAGGTACCCATAAAATACAAACAGGCCAGAAAAAATATACAACAGAGTTATATCATCTCACTACTAAAGGCTAAAATAATAGTGTGGATTATGACAGAAGACTAGATGTTATAAAAAATTAAAATCTAGTTGAAAAATTTACCATACCCCCAGAATACCATGGCATAGTGCTGACTGTCTGAGGGGTTTACTGAAATCCTCTACAGTTACCTTTCAGATTGTTAGAAAGAAAAAGAAAAAGAAATGCACAGTAATTCTATTAAATCCAGAAATGCAATCATTCATCATAGATTACTCAGATGTACATTAAAATTTTTTAGTGGTTTAGATTTTCATCTCCCTTTCTTTATAGGATCCTCCCTTTTATTTTTCAGCCTTCAGGCAGAGTCTTTGTACTACTACTTCTTCTTCTTCTTCTTTAATCAGAATGTTTAACAGAGAGTGAACAGAAACAGGAATGCAAATTAAAATGGAATTGGCTGTTTGCTTATTTTAAACTATTCCTAGTTTAAATATTTGGAGACAAAACAGAAAAAGCAGCAATTTAAATAGTTTGAGATTAACTATACATTTCAATAGAGAATGACTTAGAATCTCCTAGAGCATTAAAATAGATATATGTAAGCATAAGTAACACATGATAAGGTGTTATTCCTAAACATTCTCCCTCTTTCTTCCTTCTTAGAGCGGACCACTGTACTTTTACAATTTCAGGATATACTGCTTATAGTGTGATGTTTTCCATGTAGCCAATTCAGGCAAGCAACTTCCATCTGTCCATGTGACAAGTTCCAAATTAGAATCAACTTTAGATGATTTGATCAAAACCAGAAGCTCTCTATCCTTTGGCAGACAATGTTGATCTAAGAACTGGCTCTGAAAATTAGCTGGATGAACTCAGTTGCTCTGTATCTAATTAGAGGTTTTCCTGGCTAGGTCCAGGGAATGTCACAGGGGATATTATCAAATAAAAGTAATTCTAACTTTGAAATCAAAAGATGATTCTATAAATTATAAGGAAAGTTAAAAGCCAAGTGACTGATTACACAAATTCAGGGCCTGTTCTAACAAATATATGTAAATCAATACATTGCTTAATTACATATAAAATTAAATCAATTATTCAATGACCATTTAACCATTGGATACTCAATATTCATTCTTCTCATTTCTGTTACTTTATGAACATTTTACTTTCCATCAACAGAGAAACAAAGTAAATAGAAAATTGAGAGAATATTCAAATCAATCAATTTTTTTCAAATCAATCAATTTAATAATATTTGGTAGTGTTAGTTACAAATTTTTGAATCGAGTAATAACATTGGCAGTCTTAATACTAGAGTGAATTATCATTATTTGTACAGATTTCACCTCTCCTCTGCACAGATAATTAAACTGGTTTTACCTGGACATGTTTTATTTAGTAACACACTGTGTTACACACAAATCAGAGAAGGATGAGAGAAAAGTACAAAGGAAAACACTCTTTGACCCTCTCAAGAAAATGGGGGTTACTTGAAGTAACACAGTAGAAAGCTTCCGATTTCTAATTTCTGATTTCTAAGTTTAGTGAAAACTTCAACTCTTTTTTCTGGTAAAACATTTGTGTATTGTTATTCTTTCCTTTAAACTCCATGAAGACAATACTTAGGGACTGCTGTCTAAAATATTCTCCAGGTTTTCAATTTCCCTGTTATTAAAAATACAGAACAAAGAATTATGGAACTGAAGTATTACTGGAAGCTCCATCACTCTAAACAGGAATCCTCGTAACATCTTTTGTTCCCAGTTACCTTGTGTGTGCCTGAATACGCAGGCCCGTTAGGCAAGTTCTGTACACTCCATTCAACAACAGTACTGAACAACTGCAGAGTCCAGTAGGCTTTGGGGCCAAAGACTCGACTCTAATACTAACTCTGACAGCTAAGTCATACCTGGGTAGGAGGGAACCTCAGCTGCTACATTTCTAGAAAAAACAAAAACAAAACACCTCTTCTGAATGCTTTAAAGATTAAATGAGAACATGTAGGGAAGGCACCTTGTAAAGTGCCTGACACTATCAGACTTATTCCTCTTACTCTTAAAAATAGTTGCTCATATGGAAAATGATCTTTAGTCTCTTTACAAAAACAGACAAATAAATCCATAATCTTCCACTTGGTATATGATATGATCCTAAATATATATATGTGAAATAAAAAATATTCTTTTTTTCATTTACTCAGATTATCAAATAGAGGAAAATCATATGCACATGCTCAAAAGAATAGACACTCCTCTACCCCCATACCTCTACACATGCTTTAGCTGCTTGAGTTGAAAACTTTGGGGATAAATGTGAAAAATTCCTCCAATAATTGGAGGAAACATGTAAATGTGATCTAAAAGTTTTACGTGGGGAGCCTTAAAATCAGGCTATCTCACTTTCCCCTTTTTCTTGCTCAACCTGGTGTCTTATTCTGTGTTTATGGAACGCTAGAAACTAGAAGGAATCTAGCGATCTAGCCCAATCCTCAAACTTGAAAGCCAAGGACGCTGAGACACAGACAACAAAGCCTGGCCTCCTGCCTTTCCACCACTTGATGTCACCGTACTCCCCTCAACTTCACATCTAAAATCTAAGGGAGTGGGGAGGTAAAAACCAAGCCTGCAGTGACTGACTTGACAATTCTAAAACAGGCTTGTAGCCAAGCAAATCAACATCTCTAATAAAACATAAAACAGTGGAGCAGAGAATTGAAAACTAGGTAAAATGCAAGCTCAAATATTTGAAGAAACCACTTTTTAGTTTCAAATTTTGAGATAACATATTTCCATACTTCATATCTCAGTATAATTAGAAAAAACTTGTCTTTTCAAGCAATCACAACAAGAAAAATACCCAATAAAGTAAACAGAATTTAAGAGACTAATTCATTCATGAGAGGCTTTCTAATGTACTATCCTTAATTCAAAGTTAATTGATATACCATTTTCAATTTCCTACTCAATAAATGGAGACTACATCCTTGTTATACTACAAACACATGAAAACAATATACATTTTAGTTAAAATATCCCAGATTAAAAATACATGAAAAATATTTTTAATAATTTCTATGTTCTGGCTAGACACCAAAAAAAGTTCTGGAAAAGTAATATATTTAGATGAGTAGAGGGTGAACACATGAAATTTCACTGTGGTTATATTGTATCAGCTGACACAAAGAAGAATATTTATTTTATCTGAATATTTACTAGTTGATGAAGTATGAAATACTACAACTAAATTGTTGATGGATCTTTTGACAAGTCAATATGAAACATATGCATGTTTGAATGTGTTTATAATAAAGCATGTTGTCCCATCATATCAATGTACATTTGGCACTGACATTGGAAATACACCAGCATCTGTATTACATTACAACACACAAGGGTTCCGGAGAGCCGTTTTCACTTGGGGGTTAGCTTCTATTCATTTACTTGATCTTCTACAGAGAGCAGGATGTAAAATTATTCCAATATGTATCTACGCTATGGAACATGTGCTAGTGGAAAAGCTTTGTTCTGCATTATGTTAGCACAAATCATAGTGAGCAGATCCAAAGAACTTTCTCTTCCTGAGGGGGGAAAAACCCTCTGGAAACACTCAGAAATCAGCATTTTTGTGTGTGTGTGTGTGTGTGTGTTTCTGTATTATGAGTGTGTTTTTTCACTTAAAATGTTTACTGATTTTTTTTTTGAAAAGCATACTATTGTAGAACATTTGGAAAAGATTGAAAAAAATATAAACCAGAGAGAGAAAACTATCTAATTCCATCAATAAAAATAGCCATAATTCACATTTTGGTGTTTTTATCCTTTTTGTTTCTATGAATTTCTTTTAATAGTGGGATAAAAGACTGATATGTTTCCAGCCTTCAGACCATAAATAGGATACCATGACCTGATTCACAACTTAATATCAGATGCAAGTAGCATTTCTCTTCTTGAGGTTGAGTTTTGGCTCAATGTAGACTTATCCTCTTTAAGAAACTGCAAAGAGCCTGCCTTGCTGTTGCACAGTAGCGTGAGGGTTGCCCGCAGTGGGCATGTAGTGAGAAGGAACAGGAAATGCTGGCAGCACTCCTACCTCATCATCATCAGCATCGTACTGCCCATAGTGCTGCTCCAGCAGCTCTCTCTGGCGCCTCTCTTGTTCCAGCGTCTGGCTTATCAACTGGGCAACTTCACTCACTTGTCCTGGCTTTTCTCGTCCAATAACGAATCTGTAGAAAGGTTACAGAAGAGTAACGTGACTCTCCAGTAAAGAGGAGGGCTAAGAAAAGTAGCTAAGCTGAGATCTCTGCAGAGCCCATCAAGCCTTAACAAAGTAGTATCATCCATATGCTTCAAGTGGAGCACCTGAGTGATAGGAAAGCTTAGCTGAGCAACAGAAGTGATTTTTACAGACACAGCTCATAAAGGAAAGAAAGGGACACCGTAAAGGACCATTAAAAAATTATCACTTTGGGAGAAGCCCTAACAGATACAATTCATTCTGCAGTATTGTACACATTTAAGTTGCATTAAGTTTGGAAGCAAGCATATGATTTTAAGTACCACTGAACTTAAGAATCAATCCCATAAAAAAATCCTCTTTATAACATAAAAAGCTTTAAAAATTTTTTCAAAGCATGGCATAAATTATATTGTTAACAGACTTCTGCTAAGGTACTAAAAAGTTTGGTGGTAAAGAGGGGAAATAGAAGTACTATCTAAAATTTTGCTTTTAAAAGCAAAAACTCCAATTGATTACCACTTTTGGGGGAAAAGATGATTTGGGGAAGTGTGTGGTTCAAGAAATAAAGGAAAAAAAGGAAATGTCTGTTAATATTAATTCTTATTGGAAAAAAGTCTAAGGAAAATATTTACTTACAGTGAGCCACATCACTTATGATACATCCTTGTCAATTCAATGTGTTCTGCTCAACAAATTAAATAATAAAATAATATATGCAGTTTCTAAGTATCACTTAATATCATTTTTGAATGTGATGTTCTGAGTTTAATCTCATTTTTATACTTAATTAATAATTCCTTTGATTATAATATTTTATATATTGCATTTCAAATAACATAGACTAATATTTTCTGTACAAACTCACTGAAGGACAAAAATTTTATACCTTAATGTTCTTCATTTACTTTTCAGAAATATTTTTATGTAATTTCAAACAAGACTTAGATTAAGCTTGAGTGATCATGATCTTTTGAGTTAAGTTCATTTGAGAATCAAGTATAAATAGAACTTACCAAAACCTAATTTCTCATCTTTATTCAAGTATAATTTATACACAATAAGATACATCTATTTTAAATGTACTGTCATTAAGTGTGACAAATATATAAAACTGTAATTAATACATCAGTGAAGATATAAAATATTTCCATCAACCCCAAATATTTCCTTATATCTCTTTCCAGTAAATTGTCTTTAGCCTGGGACCAAAGAACTGTTTTCCAGAGTTTCAAATGTATGGAATCATAGAAAATCTTAGTTTCTTTGGCTCACTACAATGGTTTGGAGATTATCCATGTTGTTTCAACTATCAGTAAATTGTTCTTTTTATTACTGAGTACTAAGTATTTCACTGTACTAAATATGACACATTTGGTTGATCTACTCTTCTATTAATAGATGTTTACATGAATTTTGGATATTAGACATGAGGTTACCAGAAACATATGTGCAAGTTTTTGTGTCCTTAAGTTTTCATTCCCCTTAGGCAAATTACTAATCATGAAACTGATTAGTAATAAGGTAAGTGGATGTTAAACTTTAAAGATATTGCCAAATTGTTTTTTGAAGTGATGGTATCATTTTATGTTCCTAATAGCAACATATGAGAGTTGTAGCTGTTTTATATTCTAACTTTTAACACTGCCTTTTAAAATTTCAGCCAGGCTTGTGGGTATCTAATGGTATCTCATAATGGTTTTAATTTCTAATGGACTGATGACAGATGATATTAACTATAGATCTTTTCAAGGACTTATTGACCATATCTCTTTTCTATGTGAAATATCTTTTCAAATCTTTGGCCTGTCCCTAAAAATTGACTTCTCTGACTTTTTGTTACTGACTTGTAATGGCTCTTTATATATTCTAGATACATATCTTTGTCTATATGTATTGCAAATATATATACATATCACACGTGTATATGTGTTCAATCTATTTTCTTCTTACAGTTTGTGGCTTCCCTTTTCGCTTTTGTGTGTCTTTCAAGGGAAACCTGCTGTATCACTTTTTTTAAAAAATCATGCCTTTTGTTTTCTAAGAAATCTTTGCCTGATTGCTAATTTCTCCTATTTTTCTTCTTTGAGTGTTAATGTTTTGCTTCTATATTAGGTGTCTTTTGAATGAATTTTTATGCATGATGTGTGACAAAGGTAAAGTTCCAAATTTTTTCAAATGGATAATCAGTTGTTTCAACAACATTTGTTGAAAATAATTCATTACCGCTATTGAATTACTTGGATACATTTGTTGAAAGGAGTGGACCATGTATTTGTGGGTTAACTTGTAGGCTTTACTATCTAGTCACTGATACGTTTGTACTTTTGCCAATATCACACTTCCTTCATTACTACTCAGTAAGTCTTAAAACTAGGTAATATGAATTATTCAACTATATTTTTCCCCGGATTTCCATATAAACTTTATAAACAGCTTGTCAATTTCTAAAAGAAAGCCCATTGGGTTTGACGTTGCTTCGAATCTACAGAACATTTTGTGGAAAACTGACAGCTTACTAATATTAACTCATCTGGTCCAGGAAGATGGTATATGTGTATTATTTAGATCTTCGCTATTTTCTCAGAATACTACACTGCAGTTTTCAGTGTACAGGTCTAAGTTATAGTTTAAGTTATCTTAAAATATGACAGATTTTCTGAAATTATTGTAAGAGGTATTAGTTTTAGACTTAATTTTTTAGTTATTTGTTGCTAGAGTATAGAAACATAATTCATTTTTTAATACTGGTCTTAGAATCTGTGACCTTGCTACTACACTCACTCATTAATCCTATGGCCTTTTTTGTAAATACCTTAGGATATTTTCTTATTTAAATTAAAGATTGCATCCATTATGAAGAAAGCATTCTTATTTCCTACTATTTATTTTATTTGTTTCTTTGTCTATTTATTGCCTTATTGCACTGGCTAAGACCTCCAAAATACGTTAAAAAGGTATAAGAATAAACATTCTTACTCTGTTGCCTACTACTCTAAAACATGAGTTCTGAAAAGCCCAGAGATACACAGGGTAATTTCATTTGGAGATATGATGGGTGAAGATACATAAAGTCTTGACTACGTTAAAGTAATCTAGACATGTGTTACTATTTCAAATTCATTATGTTTTCAGTAAATATATGTATGTGAAAAATTATGTCTTGTGATGCATATAAAAAAGAGCTCAAAAAATTTGTACCATAGAACAGTAGTTTCAGCAAAGTCTATACTGACCTTTTACCTTTCTTTAAATTTATCAGTGTAAGGTTTAAGGGAGTATCACTCACCTACTATAAAGTTGACAGGAGATAGAAAAAAATTAGTTAATGAACAAAATGCATATTTACAGAAACAGCAGACAAGTTCAAAGTAAAAGGTAAATTAAGAGTTCAGATTCATTTAAACCATAAATTCTTTGCATTTAAGCCATAAGTTATTTTTGTCAGATTTTCTAGTTCAACAGTTTTTTTCTAAGAATGGAGAATTTCATTTTCTCTGCAAGACAAGTCTTTAAAGTTACTCAATGCAATTCAGAAGAGAGAAAGGTAAGATGTAGAAATTATATACTTGCCTAACATTTGGAACTACTGCCGTTAATTCCAAGGATGAATGAAGGTCTTAATAAAGACCTTGTGAAATACTCTAAAACATACAATTATAAAAACAAGAGCCCAAACAATAATATAATGTGTTGTATTATAGTAAGAAATTATATAATCATAATATACTACAATAGATCAAAACCTTTAATATCATATGTAAATTCTTCCTGACCTCAAAAAAATGATCCTTACTTCCCAAACCGGAATTATTTGCAATGCTAAAATTCAAAGAAATGAGTGTATGTGTAATCAGTCTCAGAGGAAATAAGAACTATTCCATAAATCTTAAAGAAACTGCATTTTAAAAACACCGTTGCTTCAAATCACAGCTTGGCTTTCTGAATTTGTCTATACAATTTAACATAATTTGCTATTTGCCCAATACTGGGGTATATTCAAAATTGCTTTATAGTATGACAAAATAGAAATGATTTGCAATTGCATGTAAGACAAGATAATTCATCACATGAAACAGACTCACTTTTAAACATGTTATGTTAAAATAACCCATACCTCCTTCATTCAGGCACCTTTTTGGAGCAGCAGTATCGTACCTAGCTATATACATTTTCAAAGCCTTGTAATCTAATATAATTTATGGTACAGGATTACAGTAAAAGAAAGTCATCCTTATAAGTACAGTCCAGAGGAAAAGTAAGAAAAGTGGAAACAAACTACTTGTTGTTCAGCTGTATTCTCCTCATGAAAATTAGTATCTAACCTTATGTGTCCAAAGGGGTGATTGAAGAATAAAATGCAGTACATACAAAAAGGGACTTGGTTGCATTATTATTATGACAAAACTGAAAAGTGTTTGAAACATGTATAGCATTTGTATTACTTTTCTATATGTTCTCAATATTTTAAGTTCATTTATAAGTAAGATTATAACTATCTAGCAAATATAGGATTCAGCATAAAATGTCAAATTTAAGGTAAGGTTATTATTTCAATTAAGGATCCAGAGTACAGATATGCTGTAATAGTACAATTCAGGGGTTAAAAGGGCCTATAAAATGGGGAAATGGCTTTGATAGTATAAATCTATCTAACTGTAAACACCACTTATTGAATCTAAGGCCTTGCATATGTTAATATTTCTAAGGCTTAGTTTCTATATTTATAAAATGAGCATAATAACCATAATAAATAAATATTGTATAATCCACATAAAGCTTAACTAAGTATCTAGTGCTTAAGAAAGTCTTTTAATAAATGTTTGCTCTTGTTCTTATCTAGACTATGCATTTGTTATTATCAGGATAAGGTGGAATGTGTTTAAAAGTGCTTACTGTTCACTGTCCAATTACTTCCTATTTTATAACAGTTTTAAAAGCAGTTTTTTGCGAGTCAACTATAGGAAAAGGATGAAATAAATCAACTAT